AGGGTGTTATTTGGGTTGAGATCTAGCCCGTTCCTCCTTGCAGCCACAATCAAACATCACTTGAAAAGGTACGTAGATATATTTCCTCTGACTTCTAAGCATCTTAATGAATCATTGTACGTCGACGATTTTATTTGTGGGCAAATCACTGTTCAACAGGCTCTAAAGACTTGTAAAGAGAGTGTAGACATTCTAAAAGAGGCAAGCATGGACCTTCGAAAGTGGAGAACCAATTCTCCTGAGCTAAGTAAAGAATTAAAGAATTTAAACTTCAATGTAGATCAGGGTGAAGAGTCTTTAGATACAAAATTGATAGCTTCAAAAGTATTGGGAATTGGTTGGGATGAACAAACTGACACGTTTTATTTCAATACCAGAAATCTGGAAACATTTCTTTTAAAAGGAACTAACACAAAAAGACACTTACTACAAGCAGTAGGTCGACTTTTCGATCCAGTAGGTTTTATAGGACCGTATACTATTAGAGTTAAGTACTTGATACAAGAAATTTGGTGTTTAGGATTAGACTGGGATGAAAAATTGCCCAAACAGTTAGAATTGCTTGGAATAAATGGTGCGATGAGATCCAAGATGTAAAGGAAATAATTATTTCCCGATATTATTTTCAAAATTCTTTGCCCAGTCATGCAATCACTATTCAATTACACTGTTTTTCAGATGCATCTAAGAAAGCTTATGGTACTGTTGCGTACTTACGCATAGAATTAAAGAGTGGAAATATCATTTCTAGGTTTGTAGCATCAAAGAGGCAGGGTAGCTCCGTTAAAAACCCTTTCGATTCCTAGATTGGAACTCATGGGTGCACTTTTGTCTTCAAGATTGAGCAATAAAATTGTAACTGCACTAAGTTTTCCAGTTACTTCGATATTTTTGGACGGATTCCTCAATAGCTTATTACTGGATCAAAGGTGATCCAAATAGACATAAGGTGTTCGTGAAGAATAGAATAAAAGAAATACAAAAATACAGCAATCCAGAAGAATGGCATCATTGTATAGGAAAGAATAATCCCGCCGATTTGATTTCTAGGGGTTTATCCTTAAGCGAAGCTCAAGAATAATCAGCCGCTTTGGTGGCATGGACCTGTTGGTTGACAATGAATAATACAGCATAGGCCATCCTCCTTAGAATCAATGGAAGAAAGCGAAGTAGATGTCGATAAGTTAAGAGTTTAAGAAGTCAGTTGTTGTAAATGCAACTGTTGAAAATAGCCAAAATGAAAACGATTTGATCACCAAGATACTCCTCATTCAGTAAATTAATTAGGATAACTGCTTTATGTTTGAGATTTATAAATAACTGTAAAGCAAAACCAGAGTTGAGAACAGACTTCATATGTGCTTCTGAGTTAAGACATGCTACTGAAGTTTTAGTAAAACTCGTACAGTCAGCTGAATTTCAAAGGGAAATAAAGTACTTATAAAACGAACAATCTATTCCAAAAAATAGTAAAATATCATCTCTGAACATATTTCTTGACAAAAATGAGGTACTGAGAGTAGGAGGAAGACTGGAGTATTCTGAGCTTTCTGAATTTCAGAAACAGCAGATACTCTTGCCAAAGGCTCATCAATTCACTAATTTAGTTATTGAATATTATCATAGAAAATCCTTACATTCTGATGTACAGACTGCATTATCTTTAATAAGACAGTCATGTTGGATACCGTCTGGTCAAGATCGAGTTAGAAGAGTAATAAATAAGTGCATGACTTGCTTTAGAACGAAGAATCAAACGGTAAGCCAGATGATGAGTAATCTACCTAGGGACAGAGTCGTAGCTTCTAGACCTTTCGAGAAGGTCAGATTAGATTTCACAGGACCTATAATCACGAAACCTAATTCGAAAAGGTCAAGGTGACTTTAAAGTCTTATATTGCATTATTTATCTGTTTTTGCACTAAAGCAGTGCATTTAGAAGTCGTTTCTGAGTTAACAGAAGCTTTTCTAGCCTGTTTACGACGATTTATTGCCAGAAGATCCAAACCAGCCGTTATATGGAGTTATAACGCCACGAATTTCAAAGGTGCAAGAAATATTCTTAACGCATATAATGATATTTGCAAATCTAACCCAATTCAAGAATTTAGTGCAGAAGAAGGCATCCAATGGAAATTTATCCCACCAGCTTCTCCTCACTTTAGCGGACTGTGGGAAGCAAACATAAAATCAGTGAAACAGATTTTGTTAAGGGTAGCTAAATCAGCTATTATGAATTTTGAAGAGTTAACTACTTTAGTTACTCAGATAGAAGCAGTTCTGAATTTCTGTCCATTATCACCACTTCTTCCGATCTGAATGACTTACAGCCTTTAACTCCGGGACATTTTTAACAGGAAGTGCTATGTTATCCTTTCCTGAACCACATACTGTTTCGGATTCTCTTTCTTGTCATCCAGGTGGGAACTAGTTCAGAGACTCCAAGCTAAAAGCGGTGGCATTCCGAGTATCTATATCAACTACAGAATCGTGCCAAATGGAGCAGTTCACAGCCAAACATGCAGTTTGGTCAACTAGTACTGCTGAAGGACTCCAACCCCAATCCTTTGCATTGGCCACTAGGTCGCATCCAACAAGTATATCCTGGTGCTGATGGTCTGGTCAGAGTAGTTGAAGTTAAAACCTCTACAGGTGTTCTTCGGCGAGCCATAAACAAAATTATTCCTCTACCATTTAAAGACTGAATGAACTTGAAAAACTTTATTTTATATTTAATAGTTTACCAATTTAATATTTAGTTTAGTGTAATTTTAGTCTTAGTCACTTTAAATTTATTTGAATATCTGGAAATTGAAATGTAAACTCCATGGGAGTTTAAGCGGGGAGAATGGTAAGAACCGCCTAATGCTAAAGGGCGCTGAGAGCGCCATTGAGTGTGTGCCGTTATTCGATGGAAGGTGTGATGCAGTGATGATGTGCGATTTCTGAGATTAAGATATTATTATATTTAATTAAATCAATTTATATTTTACTGATTGGTGATTACTGATTTGATTTATTGATATGAGATATATGTTTTGCTGAACCACCACACTTTCGACAAACTTGGATTACCACTGAACCTTAAAACCATCGATTTGCAGCAGTAATGTTGTTTTGTGACTATCCAAATAATTAATTGGAATCTGATGACAGGCTTTTAGCCTATATGAGGAAATATTTTTGCTTCATGTAACTCTGTTGGAAAATCAAATGATGGGAATAGGATAGTTATCCCTCACTGTCTAAGCATTTAACCTCCGAAAATCTCCTGCAGTTCTCCATTTGTTTGTGCCTGTCTTTGACACCATGTGTAGATGATAGGAGTAATTACTTTTGGAGAGTTGCATATGCCTAAATTGATTTTATTTTGGATTTTATTTTTAGCAATTTTTATATATTTGGAGCTAATATCATATACACTATTTGCAGTATGTATAATGTACAAAATCTGAACCAGTTATGTTCGTTGACAGTTTACATATATAAAAAGGAAAATTAAAATTGTGACGAAGTTCTACACCTAGACTTAAAAGTGGTTCCCCCCCCACACAAAACAGAACTGGAGCACTGTTGGCAGCAGAACACATGAAAATAATGTCTTGACACATTTCTTCTTTGGTTGTTAAGAGGAGACTGACATGAGCCAATGTCGCACGAAAAGATTTTATTTGTTATGCTGTCTTTAATAAAGAGGTGCCAAGACTGACAGGGTAAAGCACAAGTCGACACTGCACTTTCCTCGGCTTGCTTGCCTGGAATGAACATAGAGTAGCACATTTTTAAGGTTTCTCATTAAATTTATTATGGTACCGAAATTTCCAAAGCAGCTTTAGTTTTCAAGGGCTTCATTTTCTTTTAAAACGGTGTTTAGAAACATTGCATGATCACTGTAGAGGCAGTACTTCAACACGTAATTTGCACATTTTATGCAGCAAGGAATTCAATCTAGAATTATTAAACACACTTACTGATAGAAGTTACTTATCTGTACACGTGTGACTTCTAACATCCAATCCAGGCAATGCTGATAGTTTTTTAAGAATCGAGCGGTTCAACAGATATGATGATAGACTGGATTTTAACAGCTTTTGCTGAAGAAACAACTCCATTAACTATGAGTCAAATATATATCACTTTTTCTGCCCTGTCTTTCCATGACTCAAGGACCATGGACTTCTGTCCCCGAGTTGCTTCCCAGCAAGTAATTTCTAAATTTCCTAGGTACTACTTTTCTAACAACTCTCAATAATGGCAGCCTTCAGTCTTGATAAGAGGCATCTGTGTGCTTTTGATTCATGATGTCTTAAACCCAAAAAGCAATCTCCGATGGCAATTGAGAGACCCAATAGTTGACTGTCGTCTTGGGATCCATAATATGCTTTGGTACAGTTAAAGTGAAAGTTGACTCACACAACAAACTACAGAAACTAGGTTGGTATTTTTAAGACTGCTGAAATGCCTCCATGAGAGCTGTTGAAGCAAAGAAAACAAAAGTCTTGAAACAACCAAGCTTGAACCAGCAACCAATCTGAAGCTTTATGGTGCAGACGGGTCACAATTGTAACAGTTTTAGATGTTGCTCGGTGTTGGTCCTTACAAGGTACTTAAAACATGTACTCCATGTTACTTAAAACATTCAACTTTATTAACACAACTTATTTCACAACTTCATAAAAAACAAAGAAGCTACTACACGATACTCGAACCTTTTAGAACACATCGCAAAAAGGAATGTGACATTAGCTGGCAGTGTGCACAGCTGAACTTGAGATAACCAGTGACTCAGTGTTGGTCTTTACAAGTTATTGGTGAACTTGAGATAACCACAGACAAATTAACAAATAAATATGTACATAAGAAAAATTCATCAGTATTTCACTAAATTCTATAAATATGTACATGATAAGAAAAATTTCTCAGTACTTCACTAAACAATTCTATATTTGACAATAACAGATATGTAGAAACTGCTGTTTCATGAAATAAAAGCAACACAGTTCCATGAAAAAAATATACTTTTAATATAGAAAAAATTAAGAAACAAAAATCAGATTTTATCAATATGAAAATTCATACATAAAATATATAAAATAGAACAAAAGAAAACAAAGTTTCTTAAAGTGCACTGTGTGTTGCACACATTCCCAGAAGTTACAATCTACTGTTTTGCATATGTAGTCAGGCACTTAGCTTTTCTTTGAGATTTTCTGCAAGTTTATCCAAAAACTCAAATGTATTTAAGTAATCTGCTCTAGTAACACTGAAAAGAAAGGAAATTATGTTAATCACATGCATATTATTACATACTAATATATATTTTTATATTTTTTCTTTTTGCCCAATTACTTTAATAACAAAATAGCTAAAAAATACTTTTTTAGGCCTTTGATACATATAGCCAGATCCTTGGTCATGAAACCAGACTCAATTGTATCTATGCACACTTGTTCTAAACGTTTTGAGAATTCTTGTAATTTTTGATTTCCATCAAGTTTAGCACGATGGGCTAGACCTCTTGTCCATGCAAAAATTGATGCTTAAGGGGGGGAAAACATGATAGTTATTATTAAGGAATTAAAACATGTAAAACAAAATTATTTCAAATCAAAATGCCAAACAGAAAATATAAATGATAATTATTCGATGAATTTTTAAATAGATTTGGATATATTCAACAATTAGCTGTAAATTTAAGACACTGATCCTGAAGCCCTCCCCCACAAAAAATGTATATTGAAATCTTAATTTATAATTAATTTTCAACTTCATCTAATGGAAATTGAAAGAAAAATATACAGACTGTGTAACTTATTTCAAAACTAACCTACAAGTCTTGGGGGGGGGAATGTATTAAGAATGGAAATTCATTGAAATGAATTTCCTGAGCTATTCAATTCAATTAGGAACAAAGAAATTTTTATCTCCTTTGCATCAGGACATTCATAAAATTCACTAAAAATGCTGAAAAGCTATGATCCAAATGAATGAAAATAAGACTTCCAAAACGGAAAATCTAGTTCTTTGCTGATAGTCAAAACTTCTGAAAGATGATATAGTGTTCTGGTCACTTGCCAAAATAATCTATTATGAAAAGAATCCGTTTATTCCCTTAATTTCTAAGGATAATGGTTCAAGTATAACTAGTATACTTTTTTTGAAGTGGTAACTCAAAACTGTTCCGCTTTTTTCAATCAGTCAGTAAAGGCTATGTAGCTAGGTCTCCAAATCCTATGCACGCACCAATCACGCTACACATCCTATACTTAAGGAACTTTCACTGAATACTATGCTGATAAATAAAGAATATTAATTTAATTTCATCCTACAGTCACCATATAATATATCAAGAGAATATATCACCCAAATTAAAATTTTAAAAAAAATTCACAGCCTCTAAGATACTGACTATATAAAAAAATTTTCTGATTTTCTGCAGCTAAATGGCACCAAATCCATACAACATACTACCTCCAGTTATAACTGAAGTCTAATGTACATGACGCAATGGCATATAAATTTAATGTACATGAAATTTTCCACAAAAATGATAGAATAATTACACACTCATTTACAGGATAAATACTGATATTAATTATATAATAACAGAACATCCCAAGACTGATAATTCAATTAACTTTAATTACTCAATAATGCATTAATTTATATCATTTTGAATTTTGCTCTTCCATATTTCCCATTTGAATTTGTATTTCATCCATTTTCGTTCTTTGCTTTGATTTTAAACATCTACGACTACTTTCTGCCAATGAAAATAAAACATTAATTTTGACAAGAAAAAAATTTTTTTTGAGTAGCAATATATAGCTTATTTTTGATTTGCAATTCTTTTCAGATATTATAAGCATTATAAATATGAGAGAAACAACTACGCATAAAATTTTATATTTGTAATAGTAAATACACACTTAATTGTTCAAGATGTTATATGAGCCTTAAAAACCATCTACATATTAAATTGGTTTATGAATGGTTTTCAAGATACAATTCCAGATCTTAACTTTTTAAATATTTGCAGCTTGGGGCCTTACCTATAGGGTTAGTAGACGTTTCTTGTCCTTTCTGGTGCATCCTGTAATGTCTGGTTACTGTTCCATGGGCTGCTTCTGCTTCAACTGTTTTACCATCTGGACAAATCAACACACTAGTCATCAGACCTAAGGATCCATATCCTGCATAAAAGAGGAAAAAATCAATAAATTAATTTTAATATGATTACTAAACTTTTATGTGTCGGACTATAATGTAAAATACATATGAGATTCTTTTTCATTAACCCTTTCAGGATGGGCGTCCATTTCAGGATACGCATTCCCTAAGAACGTCTCTTACAACCGGGCGTCCCATCTACGCACCAAGGGCGAAGTGTATACGCATTTTAACCTGGAACGTTTTTCTGAAGGCCATTAGATGACATCCTATGTCCATTACTTTTGAAATGAACTCAGTTTTAGGTTCCTGACCTTGAGTTTGATATATTCTGCCTGACTTTGGTATTTTACTCATCAACTGTTGCGAGGGTGTGGGGGAGGGAAAGCGTAAACAGAGGTGGGCTCTTTAAATCGCTGCGTGCTATTATAAACATTCACATGTCTGATTTATATCAAATTCCTTTTTTTTCCTCTGCTATGTATGGTCTTTTAGGTTTACTATATGGAGTTCTTTTATGTTTTGCGTTGCGTTCAGGTATAATTCCGTTTCTTCTCCTTTTATTTTGGAAAGCCTTACCTCCAATCTATTATGGCAGGAAGGTGCTATTTATCAAAGGAAGAATACCCTTGTATGGTTAATGAACCATTTACTAACACAGATGAGAATGATGATTCATTTTCTAAATAGTTAGAAAGTGATACTTTTTCTAAGAGTTAGAAAGTGATACTTCTCCGTGTTTCGAAATTTACCACACTCGGTCTTCATTGTAAATTTTGTTACTTCTTACTGTAAATAGTCTTTATTATGTTGCTTTATTAATTTTAAACTTTATTGATGGATTTTATCAATTACAACTTTGGAATAATTTGAATAACGCTTCCAAAAATTATTTTACAAGATAAGCAATTTTTTAAGTGTACTTTCATGTAAAATAAAGAAAAAAGTTATTAAGTGCTAATTTTAACTTATATAAGAGCTCAAGTAATAATCTGAAATGATACCAAAAATTACAATGCTAGAAGTGAAAAAAAATTTTTCCCCCGATTTTTATATATATATATATATATATAAAATTAGGCTTAGCAATGCAAAACCTCTATCCTGTACGGTGACTGCCTTCGATTCCCTTTCGCCCCGCACGAGCGTCTTAACATACAAGATTCATTCCCCAGTGCCACGGTTTTTCACACAGGTGCGTGTAGTTATGCAATGTATTAGGGGAAAAATAAGTGCAAGTTTTACTTTACTTTTTTTCCCCCCAAAATAAAGAATAAAAGAAAAAAAATGAATGCACAAAATTTAATTTTTTGAGTAAAAGCATAATAAAAAGATGTAAGTATAATAAAAATGATGTTTTTATAATTAAAAAGATCCCTAAAATCAGTATGCAAAAAAAAAAAAAAAAAAAAAAAAAATATTTCTTCTGAACTGGTTGAATGCCACGATTTTGTTCTTGATGTTTCGTTTGCAGTGTGTCGGTTCATATACTCGTCTACAAAATGGTTAGTTTCAGTAACAATATGAAGCACAAGCATTTCATTAAAAAATAATTCAAAAAAAAAAATAAATAAATGTGTTTGAAACATCCATTATATTTTTCTTTATTTCTGGAGCCTACTACAAAAAGTAAACAAAACGGAGGACACAGAATAAAAAAAAAATACATTTTACTCAAACAACACCAGCCAATACCCACGCAGTCATTACTTTCACCGCTTTAGACACTCCCCTCTCTCCAATTTCTCCCCATACTTCTCTGAAATAGTATCCTCCTTCACATACTTTGTCAAGGTCATTGTGGTGTTGCATTCCAAAGCTTTGCGAATAATTTTACAGGTAGCAGCGCAAAGCAAATGATAGTAGTTCGGAAGGGTGTATATATATATATATATATATATACGCCCGGGGCAGTTAAGGGGTTAAACAAAGATGCGCCGTCGCAAAACGGTTAAAGCCATACACTTTTTTTTTTTATTATTAGCATGATTTTTTCTGGTGCCAGGAACTATGGTATGATTTATTTGGCTTTCTTTCCTGTTAATAATTGTCTTTACAATCCTCATTTGTGCTGCCATATTTTTCACCTAATCCCCCCTACACACATGCACACACAATTTGGGCTTTGTCAATAGATGAACAAGCAGCTGTCCTATTTCCCCCCCCCAAAGAAAGAGTAACCACTTCATGAAATTAAAATGCAGCTTGTAGCTGAAATGATTATGAAGTGTTTATTCATGCTGCGAAGGAAAAAGCTATTCTGAATACAAATGTCATTTAATTGATCAAACATTCCATTCCTTAATGCCACATGATTTGTTTACTTATGGTGTCAGCAGCTAATGTTTATTAAGTTTTGTAAACCAAAACTTGTTTTAAATGAATTGCAGCACAACAGCTAAATGGAATAATTACATCAGAGAAGTATATGTCAATTCCTTGTTATCTTGTCCTAACATTAATATGAATGAGTGCAACAAAACTGTTAAAATGTTATTTTCAACATCAACAACCATAAAAACAAAACAAAAAATCTTAGGTAATGCTTTTTCATTATTTTGGAGGGTTCTGCCATGAAATAAGAGATTACTGAGTATTGTTTCCAAATGTTTTAGCTCTGTATCACGCTAAAAGTGTGAGGAAAGGAGTCAATATAGTGCAGAAAATTCATGGCATGACTTTAAAGTACCGTGTATAAATTCAAAATTTATTTATTTTGACATAATTCAAAATTTATTGATCAGTATACTTACAACATATATTATAAAGAACTTCATATTACTCAAAGATGAATTTATGGAGTCACCCAAGCTGTAACTGTGAAGGGCTACTGAAATCATGAATTCATTTAAAAACAGTAAACATATCATGCGTTTTAAGATGATGGATCCCAAAATGTTCAAGGTAAGCAGGCTCCGAATTTTATAAACCTTTTATTGGAGGTATTTTTGAATGAAAACCTAGTTGATGTAGTCACAACAAACTGAAATTGTATGTACAACAGAAATGGCTTTTTTGCTGTATTCATTGAAGTATTCTGTCAACATACATTGCTTTGATGATACTGTATATATAAATTAACATAGTATCATTAGTCATTATGGCTGAAAGGCTTTTAATGTATGATTTTTAACTGCTGCATACATTTATATTTTTCAACTATGAAGTTAAATACAAGAAATTGTGCAGATGACTAAATATTAACTGCAAAAAATCATGCATTTATATATATAGCAATGATAATGATTACATGAAGTGGCTAAAATATTTTGTCTCTACAAATCCAATTACCTAACAAAGAATTACTTTTATCATCTATGGCCTTCTTTAAGATTTTCCTAATGACTTTACACAACATATAAAACAAATGAAACATAGAAATGGTAATGTGTTATTAGCACAATTTAGATCAGTCTGCAGATATGCTCCATTAGCACTAGAGGTGCTATTAATCTTGAAACTCAATTTTTGTCCCCATCACTTTTGTGTTTTCAAATAGTTCCCATCAAATGTTATTGTGATGTATTATTAAAAAAATTAATGAAGAATCTGTATGCATGTATTATAATACTTTAATTGCAGAAAAACAATGGCACTTACAGCAACCAAAATTTTAATAAATTAATATTTTATACTCCACCTGAACAGTACTCCAAAGCATCAATTTTGAATTTGTTTACAATTTTTTTTCACATTTTGTACAAATTTAAAAATTTTTGTTCAACAAACTCAGCATTTTGAAAGCAAAAAGTGGCAACACTCTTTGAAATAAAAGATTTTTATCTCCAGTCCACCATACTACTCCCATTCAGCAGAATGTAAGATTTTCAATTTTAATCCACAAATCGGATATCTGAAAGCTATGTGTTGCCACTGCCTCAGATAGAATACTTACTCTCTCCATGCACTAGCATGTTGCCATTCAGCAGTGTGTAAAATATTTAACTTTCAGATTTAATCTTTCTGTTAATGAATGGCTAACCAAATGACTGAAAGGCAATAAATACAATTGTTTAAATTGTTTTTCGACTTATTAATCTGATTGATTTAAATCATGAGATATCTAATAAGAAGTATTAAATATTTTTATGAAATGAAACTAGCTGGACTCATTAAAATCATTATACACTATTTTTTTATGATAAGTCTTTTAGATGGCTGGCTGCTTGAATGCATTTTTAAAGAAATTCTATAGTTAATATATAAAAAAAAAGTATGGCAATCCTTAACATTCTAAACCTATGTGGTTTTAAATATTATGTGATCTCTCTTGAATTTCATGTAGCTAAATAATAGAAGTAAAAATAAAAGCTTTTAACAGGAGCGAGTCCAAAAACAGACTGACAATCTGTGATGCTCAGCAACAGCAGAAGAAACCTTCACAAATCCTTTGACATGATTTTAAAATCTGAACTCTTTTAGATTTGATTTTTTTCTTTTATCATATTTTTGATTTGCTATTTACAATTATTTTTATACATAAAAAAGTGTAAGATGTAAATATGATAATTAGCTATTACATTCATATTTATATTTTTTTAGCATTTAAATAATAATATGTAAAACCACAAGAGAAACAGTTTATATGGCAGTTGGAATTGCAATGATTTTGTGAATACATTTTTCTGTTTAAAAAAATGGAAACTTCTATTGTGCAAGAGTGCATATATTGCTCTACATACTGAAATGCAGTTATGCAACTATTTTGCCTCATTCAACACGTTTATTTTTGCAAACATGTATGAAAATCAACAATGAATGCCAGTCAAAACTCACAAGCAATATCCTAGGTATCAAAATGTATGTACTTTTGAATAATCTAAAACACAAAATACCTTGGGCAACTGAATCTGATTGAACATCACCATCATAATTTTTGCAAGCCCACACAAATCCACCCTCTGATTTCAGAGCTTGAGCTACCATGTCATCAATGAGTCGATGTTCATACCATATTCCTTGTGCTTCAAATTTTGATTTGTATTCCCTGGATTTGAATTTTTAAAGAATATTAATGATATTTAATAACAGCAAAGTCAATATTTTAATAATAAATTAAAAATTTTAATAATAAATTCAAAACTTCAAAATTCAAACATATTTTATTACAGTTCAAGGCCAATCAAGGAAATATACAGCAAGATGGTAAATACTACTAAACATAAATTAAAGATGTAAGAACAGCATGAGAATTACTAAAAATTGTTAATTTATAAACATATTTTGAATATCATCTACAATAAAACTAAACTTTAATACCTAATTGCTGTGATAAAAACTAAACCTTTCATCTCTTAGATTGGAGATAATCACCATATCCAACAGAATTAATTAAAACAACCTTTTATTATTTCATATTAATATTTTATGATTCTTTCTAGCAGGAAAACAGAAATAAATATTCAAGCTTATGATTAGTGAAGAACAGTGAGTGGTTGAGAACAAATAAGACATACAGAGCCAAGAACTAGCACTCACAGTTGTGCAGTGTACCTGCACACTATCGTGCAGTAAGAACCATTGTCCTGTACAACTTCAGCTAAATGCATCATCGTAATTTAGATACTTCCTTGCAGAATGAGCTGAGAATTTATAGTCTGACCTAGAGAAACGAGTTCTTTGTGGATCACTGTAGAAGAAAGTCTTCTTCACTAGACCTTAGCATCTTGTAGGGAACTTGTTTTGGATCTTAAGGAAGACAGTATATATTATTCCATTGAATTAATAGAATGATATTAATAATGTACCGGGTGGCCATAATTAAACTGATAGTGCTCACAGTGTTCTCCAGCGCGATCTATTTGCGAGAATGACGCCACATTTTGTAGGAAGATTAAATAAGACGGGTGAAGGATTCCGCGAAAAAACAAATTAGTTCCAAAAGTCACCGCTAGGGGAACATTTGGCGCTGTGTAATAGAAAATAGAGTGCCATATAGTGCCAAAATACATCTAAACTCAGTAAAGTGGCAGTTGAACACTATCAGCATGAGAGGAAATGCAACAGTGTAATTAAGATATGAGTGAGCATGAAACTGCTACAAACTGGAAAAATTAGCATTGGTGCAGCTCTTTTGCAAACTGGAAGAAAATGATCAACGACGAGCCACATTTGAACTGGTCACTAATGAGCAAAACCTCAGACATGAATGATGGAGCATGACACATGCTGGTATGAGTTAATAAATGAGTAGAAAGAAAAACGGAAGCAAATCTCTGAAGATTTTATTTATATGTGTGATCAGGATCCATACTTTCTGCAAGACATCATTACAAGAGATAAGATTTGGCACTACCAGCCGAGACTAGAATCCAAGTGGATGAATATGGAATTAACGTAAAGATATATACCGGGTGGCCATAATTAAACTGACAGTGCTCACAGTGTTCTGTAGCGCGATCTATATGTGAGAATGACGCCACATTTTGTAGGAAGATTAAACAAGACGGGGGACGAAGGATTCCGTGAAAAAACAAATTAGTTCCAAAAGTCACTGCTAGGGGAATATTTGGCGCTGTGTAATAGAAAATAGAGTGTTAACAAATGCAAATTAATACAGAATAAAATTACCTTTTATTATGCACATTTTCTGATTTAGTTCAAGTGCAATATGGCAACACTTTTAAAAAAGTGTAAAATCTACATAAACACCAATAAAGTCTCGTGATCTGCAATATAACGTACGCTGAGCAGAACAAGAAGTTCTTTATTCAAATTTCACGTTACATCCATTCGCACAGTGCCAGCTGCTTTGCAATGTCTCCTTCTTTAGTCGAGCATGCATTAATGGTCAAATTCTTTTACCTCAACCAGTGCAATGCATCAGCTGCTCTTCGTGCTTTTAGAACGCACAAAAAAATGCGTAAAGGAAACGGTCCTGTGTCAGTTAATGGGCTAAAAGCAATGGTTGCGACGTTTGAGAAAACAGGTTCTCTGAAGGTTCAGTCAGGCAGAGGATGAAAACCTGTATCACAGGATACAATCAAAGCAGTGCCACGGCGATTGTCGATAGACGACCAGACGATATTGCCGCCACCTCTAGCGCTTGTGGAGTAGCTCGGAATATGGATATGCCCCTTACAGTACAGTATGGAAAATCTTACGAAAGATTATCAACTTCTTTCTATCCATACAAGATCAGCCATATACAGGAGTTACTGTACCCTGACCATGATAAGTGTTGCATCAGGTTCTTCTATTTACAATAAAATTAATGTAAAATTCCTTACCTGCTGCATCTTCAGTGTTCTCGACGCCAGGCTTCTAATAATCACGTTTTCCAGTAAGAGTTTCTATTACAATTAGCAGGCCATCTTGTCTTTTAATTATTTATTGAAATAAAAAGCTAATATACACTATTTACAAGGTAGGTGATAATTATTTTAAAACAGTACATTTTTAGTTCTGAGTCTTTACGCTCCTCAGAGCGGTTCCAATCTCGACTGCTTCTCGGAACTTAATTACAGCAAAAGTAAAGGAAGAGATGCCCGCCACCTAGTGGCAAGAATGTGACATCCTCCCACCTTTTGATTTTACCTCGATAAGATGGGAAAATCAAAACAAAATTTATCAATAATCAAACAAAAATTCAAGTACAACTTTCACAAATATGAAAAGTAACTAATGCTCTAAAATTAATACTTACAAAGAAGGATTACACATCTAAACATTTTCTGCATTACATTCATACCATATCCAGATAACATGTTCCAATTGACAACTGTTAGGACAATTAAATTTCTAAAATACTGAAAAGAAACAAAAATTAGTATAGCAATTTAAAAATATGTAAGAGGTTTTACAGTTTTACGTCCATATCTAGTTTGATAGTTCATATCACTGTAACACTTATCCGCAGAGTTTTTTATGTTCATGGTGAAGTCACTAAACAAGTTAGGTCTATCAAGTTCGAGAGGATAAATACGTTTCACAGGTCTTAGGAGTTCACCCGTTGCAGTTTTCACTTTGACAACACGTACTTCGTTGTCTTTCCCAGGATATAGTTCTACAACACGACCTATTGGCCAATCTATTCTCTTCTTGTTGTCGCTGCCGACAAACACCAAGTCATTTTTGTTGATAGTCCGAGTAGATCGTTTAGATGGTTTTTGCACTAGGATAGCTAAATATTCATCACGAAATCTTTTGCGGAAATGTTCTCTTAAGTTCTGCAAGAACTTGTATCTTTTTGTCAGATTAATGGTATCCAGGTAGTCTAAGTCAGGCACTCCGACGTCGTGCACATCTTGTAGAAACATTGAAGGAGTTAGTGCCGTAAGATCATTTGGATCTTCTGAAAGGTACGTAAGGGGTCTTGAGTTGAATCACTGATTCGATATCACAAAGTATAGTCAACATTTCCTCATAAGAGAAGAGACACAGGACTTGCCGAGAACATTTCTCAACATCTTCTTCACTGTTTGTACCAACCTCTCCCACCAACCGCCCCACCATGAAGCAGTTGGGGGATTAAACTTCCACTGTATTCTCATACTAGTTGAATTACATTCTATTTCTTTCCAATCTATCGATCTTAAAAGATTTTCAGTTCCAACGAAATTAGTGCCATTGTCGCTGTAAATAATACTTGGACGACCTCTTCTGGCAATAAATCTCCTTAATCCCAAGATGAACGCATTTGTTGATAAACTTTCTATCAGTTCAAGATGTATCGCGCGATAGACCGCGCAAGTAAAGAGCAAGATCCATGCCTTTTTTCCTTTTCGTAAATAAAGAGGACCGGCTACATCGACTCCGGTCACTTCAAACACCAGAGCATCTCGAACTCGATCTTCAGGAAGAGGTGCTGGAACAGTCTCTATATTCTTTGCGCTATATCTTCTACAGCGAACACACTTCATAAGAACTTTACGTACTGTTTTTCTTCCTCTCAGGACCCAGAATTTCTGTCGAATATTGGCTAGTACGAATTGCACACCAGCGTGGGATAGTCGCAAATGGTAATCTAAAATTAACCTATGAACTAAGTCATGATTTGAGGGCAATACAATTGGACAGAGAAAATTTTCTTCTTCCTCTCTTCTAGTAATCTTGGTCTTTAACCGAATAAGGCCATCTGAGTCAAAAAAAGGTACAAAGGTTGCTAACTTTAAGTTCTTTGCCAAATGCTTCTATTTGTATTATCTTGCATATTTTCTTTTCTACAGTTTCTATTTCAGGGACCGTGAGTTCTCCTGATTGTTTAGAATCTGGTCTTCTGCAGTTGTTGATAAATCTGCATATCCAAGCAGTTATTCTTAACATTTTATGGTAAGATGAATATTTCTCAAAAAAATGTTCTACCCTTTGCGTATTTAGTGCAGAAATGACTGATTTCCTTTTTTCTGAATTCACTATTTCCATGTCCGGTATTTCCCTTTGTCTAGGCCATTCTTCCTGATTTTTCTTCAGCCAGTCGGGGCCCTCCCACCATCTAACTGCTACTGCTAAAAGTTGTTTGGCGGTGCAACCTCTTGATGGGAGGTCAGCTGGATTTTTTGTTCCAGCAATATGTTTCCACGTTTTTGGATCCGTCAGTTTCCTAATCTCCCTGACTCTGTTTTCCACAAAGACAGCCCAGACAATCTCTTCCCTTTGAATCCATGTCAAAACTGTTGTAGAATCCGTCCAAAAATGCGTTTCCATATTTTGCCATTGCAAACCATTTAAAACAGAAGAGCATAGTCTGGCACCTATCGTGGCAGCTATCAATTCCAGACGAGGGATCGTAATAGATTTTACGGGAGCTACTCTAGACTTCGATGCCAACAGATGAACTTCAACTCCAGAATTCGTCACAGTTCTCAAGAAAACTGCAGCAGCATACGCATTACTACTGGCATCACAGAATGTGTGAATGCTGCAGAACTTCCTATTGTCCTTGCTGGAATGTATCCAACGTAGGAGGGATATTTCTTTTAAGAGAAAAAAGGCTTTTATACCAATTCACAAAATTTTGTTTTGTACTCTCGTCAACTTCAGTATCCC